AACATAGGCTATTTTTTTTTATTTTCGCGCAGACGAAGTCGCGATCAATAGCTAGTCAACTAGATTATGTTTATTGTCATTAAGCACACACACATTTAAATAAGAATGCTATTATCGACATATTCACTGTAATATCGGTAAAGTAAACGCCTTCAAAACCATAAGTTTTTAATATTTTTTTTCTATTCATCATAGATAATTTTATCATTCGCATTAATAACTGTTATTCGCGACTTCGCCCGATTTTAAAAAATAACATAACCTCACTGATAACATAGCTTATAAATTATGAAAGAATTTTTAAAATCGGTACACTACATATTGAGTTATTTCAATACATACAAAAATACAAATCTTTTCTCTTTATAATATTAGTATAGGTTAAAACAGTTAATAAACTACCCTCTCTATTGTTACTCTGTGCCAAACTGAATGGTACAATATTCAGTTTGTACGCTTCACCAGTAAGGTTTGACTACCAATAAGGTATGAGTTATTAGGAGGCGCCTATTAGAATTTGCATTGCCAAATATAACTATGTCAAAATAAGAGGGTCATGTCTATAAAAAGGAGAGTTTAAATCTGAGCAAACCGATACTCTAGAACAGAGGTGACGAACCATTGGCACGCATGCCATATATACACGACACAATATTTAGTGCACGTCGATAATCATAAAACACTACGAAAAATTATGAAGTAGGTGCACCATAGAATTGACGTTATAATCGCAGTCAAATTATTCGATGGTACATCTAAGACTTCATTAAATAATTCTTGGCAAAAAATTTGCACTTTTATGCATAAACTAACTTTCGCCCGCGACTCCGTCGGCGTGGTATTAATAAAAACCAAGTAGCCTATGTGTTCTTCCAGACTGTCTATGTACGCCAAATTTCATTGATATCAGCACTTTAGGCTACTACTACATCCATCCATCCATCCATCTAAACTTTCACATTTATAATATTAGTATGAAGTATGATGTTCGCCACCCCTGTACTGGAACAATTTACTATTCAAATAGTAAGTTATTTACATTATAAAGCACGTATGACACGTGTCTATTCAAAATTAGTCAAAGTTTTTTGAGTTTAGCCGACATTGATTTTCATTTTAAAAATGTACTATGACGTCACTGTTAGTTTAGTTAACACGTGACGTCATTCGCCCATCGGCTTCTGCGAGTAATAAAAATTATACATAAATTATTATAATTGCTGATAAATTATATTTTTTATAACTCCAAATATAGGCAAGAGCTTACCGGTTACTAAAAAAGTTCATTTATCGTCAGAAATAAGTCGGCAAATGCGACCTGCTTGTACAAAAAAGTACGTTCACCAAGATTGGTCTGATAAGATTTTGCACACAAGGTTCTTGTTTTGTCAAATTGGTAAGATTGAAGGCCGAATATTGAAACGATATTCAATTTCAAAGATATGTGTGAAGTCAATCCCCAGCACTGCGTAATTATGACTTAGTCACTATTTAGGGCTGGAGCTGGAGATGATGATGATTTTTCAATTCCATCAAAATATTGACGTCTATCTCCAATCTGATACAAGAGGCGCTTACGAACAGAAGCTTTCACGATTCGTTTCAGTATTCGGCCTTTAAAAGCGTATATTTTAAATCAATAAGAAAAGGCCATCATTTTTTTAAATGTTACAATTTGCATGGAATGTTCTTTTTTATGTAAAACCACAACTTTTAGACTGCAACTTCGCCACTTTTTAAACCGCTCCGTGTATAAAATTATAAAGTTTTTTTAATTCCCAACACCATTATACCAATCATAGGAAGTCGAGTTAGTCACAGTTTTAGACATTTAAATACTTTTTACTCTTGAACAAAAAGTTTATTTTTTACTTTTTTTTCTCGCTGTATTAAAAACTTAATGAAAAAATTATTATGCTTAATTAAACATTATTTCACAAATTAAGCAAGTATTTGACTTACCTTTAGAATTTAGGTTTAAAAAAATTACTGAAAATATATTTTGCCAAAACATTCTAAAAAATGTATCGAAAATACGTCCAAAGTCCAGTAAATGCTGAATATTCTGTCGGGTTAAAAAAAGGAAGTTTTCCCACATTTTCTATATATCTGGAGAATATTTTCTTATCTTACATGACTAAAACTCACCAATTCTGCAACAATTTTAGTTTCAAGTCTCTGGCATTCGTTCACCGACTTGGTGAAGGTGCGCGAATTGATGGGTTTTGTTGTCTGGAATAATAAAAAAAAAGTTCAAAATAACATGAATGTATAACTTCTATGTGGGTTTTCAGAGTTGTAACACATGTGCAAAAACATGTACTATCTTTTTCTTTACAAAAATACAAAAATATTAAGTATTTGTACATGTTTTGGGCATTGAATACTTAAGATTCTTATCAAAGTTAGGTTCATCTATATCTATACTATTATAATAAAGCGTAAACACACACTTCTTTGTTGCCTAAGATCTCAGCAATTACAGCATATTTTTGAATAGTTCTTTTTTTAATAAAAAGTCCTACACTTGCGTCATGCTTTAGGCTATATATTTCACACCATTAAACTTAGGGGGTAAATATTTTAGATAAAAACCCTAATGTGGGAAAAAGACCATAAGTTGCTGCCAACATCAAGGAAGCAAGGTTGTCATCATGTCATGTCATTTTGACATTTGCTATTGATAATTTGACAAATATAAACAATAAAATAACATTTTAATAATATCATGCGGATAAAGCTGCACGGGAATAGCTAGTAAAATTATAAGGCTTTAGGTCACTTCTTCAATAAAAATATTATTACCTTTTTTTAATATTTACCTTATTACTAGTAGTCTGTAGAACTTTATTAATGTCTTTAAAAGAATGTATCGACACATCCAGTGTTGATGATTCTTGTTTTTCCTCTGCATTTCTTTTTTGCTGTGGCTGATTCTTCTTTACTTCTGTAGTCTGGAAATTATAAAATAACTATTAAACAAAACACCCCCTCACATTCCTGCTGTATGTCCAAAACAAATTGTTTGTTAAATCTTATCTTACTTCTAACTAATATTATAAATGCGAAAATGTAGATTGGATGTTAGTTTGTAGCCAAAGGGGCTGAACGGATCTCATTGAAATTTGGTATACAGGTAGAAGATAGTCTGGAAGAATACATAGGTTACTTTAGTTTTGTTTACTTCCACACAGACGTAGTTGCGGGCGAAAACTAGAGCTGAATAATGCTAAAGATTCTATTTATTGGTAAGATACAGTAAAAAATATGCTATATTTAGTTAATACCTTCTATAAGAATGTGAATGATACATATATTTTACAATAACAAGGGCCCTGTCCCACAATTGTTGTAAATTGTCAGATAACAATCCAATGTATAAAATATGTGATGGAAATATCGGATTTTATTAGTCTATTTGGCAGTGACGTCACTTTTAAGCTATCTGAGCCTTTATCAGCCAGTGATGGGAAAGGCCCTTTTTTCATAGCAAAATACAATAATCCATGTTACAATAAAACTTACGTGACTATGATGAGAAAGATCATCCTCCCAGTTATTGATCTGGTCAGCGAGAGCGGCAAGTCTTCCAAATTTTTTCTTCCCTTCTTGAGCGGGTCTTTCTTTAGACTGTGACACAGGCGGCGGAGACGCTGAGTTGAAATTAGATTCCGTGCGATTTATCGGCGATGATAAGTTTGGAGTGTCTGGAAATTAAAAAAAAAA